TCGACTGCCGACTGAGACTGCTCGAGTATTTTTTCTGAGTCATTTTCTAAAAAAGAAGCGGCTTTATCTTTCTCCTTCCTGCTAGACTATGCTTCTCGTTCCTGTTCAATGCCCCGACAAGACTTTTTTGTACTTTATCTTTTGCCCAGTCATGTAAAACATTATCTAAATTCTCAAAACTTTCCGCCATTTCAAAACACAGAGGGAAAAACTNTTGAAATGATGACATCAATCGTGCGTCTGTCCTCTAATAGATCATAGGCAAGAACCAATCAAAATGCAAGAATTACTTGGGTTATTATATAAACAATTATGTAATATTTGTCCTCATAGAAATCAAGAGCCAACAAGGGCCAGTTCTCAATAATAGCTTAAAAGGACACTGATTAATCCTTTCAATTCCAGCACTGCAGTATCAGTTAAAGTCATCACCAATAAAATTATTGATGAGCTTGGTAAAGATACCTTAGGGATAGTGGAGCCAAGAGATGAACCTCAAGCAGAGCATGCAGGTATCCATGGCAACCCCGAGAGCAGCAACCACCAGGCACTGTACATACTGACAGAGTCAGTGGAGAATTACTTACAACCCCAACTACTTACTGTCACCAGTGAAAGGGAGCAAGCAAAAGCATGCTACAGGCAGGAAAGGTCCTCAAGACAAACTGTGTGTTCTCACACAGCTGGCAAGTAAAACATGCAAGACTCCACAGAGCATGGTCACGCTGAGAGACCGCTGGCCAGCTTTGGCTCGGCTCAAACTTTGCCTAAATTACATTTCGCCACATAAAAAACCTGGATAGTAATACTTTGAACAAGATTTACCTGTTCTGCAAGATCAGCTGTGCTTTTATCCACAGCTTCAGATTTTCCACACTCTACATCTGAAACAGTACTGTGAACCTATTGATTTACAGAAAAATAATAAAATCATGCATTCAGAATACAGAGTAGCTTGGTACTTGATGCCAAGGTTTGTACTAGTGTTGCCCTTTAGGAATAGTGAGGAGTAGCTGTACACATCTCACCATTGGATCACGTATACAAAAGGCATTCACGGTCAAATATCGATCAGTACTCAGCCAACTATGGACTAACTATCAATCAGGTGGGATTGAGATGTCAATGGAGTGTTGATCGAGAAGTTGATCGACGGTCAATCGGGGGTATCGAAAGACACTAAACCATGGATGCCTTGAGTACACATGATCCAGAATATGCGTGGTTCCAACCCACATTTCTTAATCCAGAATCCAGTGCACTAACAATTAAACCGTACCCCTCCCACCTGAGTGTACTACATGTGTATGGATTCCTCATTAGGTTTCAATGGAAAGAAAATGATAAACCTGAGGGACTTAGATTCAAAGAATGCAATTATGAGGTTAGGGTCATTATTTGCCATTTTTTGCTGAAATCAGTGCCCATTGGGTCTAAACCTTTACAATTTTTTCTTGATAATAACAGGAAATTATACCTGCGACCAGAAGCAGAGCATGTATGAGTTACATGAGTACATTCCTCCACACGCCACTTGTTTTTCCTTACCTTGAGAAGTTTTCGAAAGTCTTCACTATGGAAGTAGTTGCAGAAGAATTGGTTATCATTTTCACGTCTATCAAGTTTATGACGAATCTGTTCAAGGCAAGTCAAAAGCCTTTGGAAAGCTAAAAGAATACATAAATACTGATTAATTTTGTCTGATGTTCAGTACTAATAGCATAAAATGATAGTTTTAAGGAGAAATGTGACTGATGAAGTTCAGTTTAAGGTTGAACCTAAAACCTAAGGCTCTGTTGATTGTTGAAAATTGCAAGACATCCTTCCAGTCATTCTCAATACAGTTTAACTTTGTTCACATTATGAACTACAAATAAATGTGTAAACTTTAAAACGGGACATCTAAATGAAACTACGGAACAGGTTAAAATTAAATCAAAGAACTAATCTGGAGAGTTAGTTTATACAAATGAACATCCCGTGGCATTCACACAAGATAAACCGAAAATGTACTTACACGGGTCGCCATGATTAGTATTTTCAATGTTCGACATTGCAAAGAATTCTAACCCTTCCCAATCGCTTTACAGCATAACTCGATAAACTGCATTAAGAACCACAAATATATGTAGGCCAACCTCGGGCGAGTGCAAACCTGGCAAACGCGTAGTTCAAAGTAGAACAAACTGAAAATCTAATTTATTCTAATTCCTACCATGCTTAAGTCGCTTAAACAAACAGCAAAAGTAAACATTTGTCAGCGCATAATAGCAAACGGTTCAATACCCTGACAGCACATAATTAGGAGTTTGTCGACTTTGTCAAGTACAGTTGAACGAAAGATAAGCAAATGCACCAACTTCTAAAATTGTTGTACAAAATACGAAGGTAAGTAATTAAACTTTGGCGTATAACTGAAGGTATTTAACCATTTCATTCTTATTTTTATTATATTGTGAGATATAGAAGGTGCCGAGGTATAAAGCTTATACAGAAAAAGAGATTCTCGACACACCTGTCTGTTGAGGTCTTCAAACGTTTTTCAATGTTGATCGTCAACAAGGCACAAAAAGCGCAGAAAGGACTCATTGTGAAAACAAAAGTAGTTTAAGTAGATTTTCCTTGTCGTAAATACCCAAATACAGTTGATCGAAGGTTAGAGTTTCCTTCGCATTTGTAGACTCGAAGGAAAGGAAGCTTCAGTCAGCCGAGATCAAAATCTACAAGGCTCTACTTCCCAGTTCTTCCTCCAAAAATCAATTGCGCAAAAACCGCGGGAACAAGACGTCACCGCGCGACTAGCCTGCTTGAAAAAGGCGGGACTCTGTCTCTCAGTTTTTATACGTTTTGATCATTTTGCACTGGAGGCAATAACGAATTTGAAAATTAAAGAAAGAGGGATGTATGTTCTATTGATCCCAGACATCTGTTGAAATGGCTTTCTTTTCAGGTCGTTGCACGTAGGGAGGTACCAATCACGCATCGCGCTGAATTTTTCTATTTTTTAGTAGCAGTATTTTGAATCCTAGTGCTAGCTTGAAACCTGAGTTTTAGTCTCATCTCCTTAGCTTTTATTACTTCTGTATTTTCGACATTAAATGTATATTTTAGACTTTTATTTTTTAAAGGACCCCCTGAAAATCACCTCTATGTAATTGGGGGCCCCCTCTTAAAATATTAATTTATTATTATAATTATTATATTATTAGTTTTTCATCTGCAATCATTTTCAATAAACCCCGACTGCTCAAACCTAATATAAATTAAACATGTCATTTTGAGCAGAAAATACTTTTCTTCAGTAGTGTGCCAAGGTCCATGTTAACAGCAGTTTCAAAATATCATGAACAGGATCCTCAAACCACAAAGTCAAAATGGTCATGCATAAGTCATGAATACATGAAGAGACATTTTCCATATACATGACAATCTTTTACTGCTGTTTTAAACATAACAAATGAGCATAGTTATTTGTGTCTAAGAAACACCCATTATCCCAAGTGTGATCCTTTTTTCCAAATGTTACCCAGTTTTCTAAGTGTGACCCATTTTTTTTTCAAAGTATAGCCCATTTTCACAGGTTTGACTCTTTTTGCAAGTATGATCCACTTTTCCCAGCGTGATACCCATTTTTCCATAAGTGACCCATTTTTACAAGTATGGCCCTTTCTTAAAAGTGTGACCCATTTTTCCAAGTTTTCTGGCCCCTTTGTCCAAGTGTCACCTGTTTTTCTTAGTGTGACCTCTTTTCCAAGTGTGAGCCCCTTTTTTCAATAAGTGACCCTCTTTTACGATAAATGACACATTTTAGTGTGACCCAGTTTTACACATTTGACCCTTTTTTCCAACTGTAACCCATTTTTCCAAATGAGACACATTTTTCTAAGTGAGACCCATTTTTACAGGTTTGACTCTTTGCAAGTATGATCCACTTTTCCCAGTGTGATCCCTGTTTTTCCATAAGTGACCCATTTTTACAAGTGTGGCCCTTTCTTGAAAGTGCGACCCATTTTTCCAAGTGTTCTGGCCCCTTTATACAAGTGTCACCCGTTTTACTTAGTGTGACCTCTCTTCCAAGTGCGAGCCCCCTTTTTCAATAAGTGACCCCCATTTACACATTTGACCCTTTTTTCCAAGTGCGACCCATTTCTCCAAATGAGACCCATTTTTCTAAGTGTGACCCATTTTCCCAAGAGTGATCATATTAAGTGTGAACCATTTTTACAGATGTGACACTTTTTTCCAAGTGAAACCCATTTTTTCAAGTGTGACCCATTTTTTCAAGTGTGACCCATTCTAACAGGTGAGACCCATTTTAACAAGTGTGACCCATTTTTACAAGTGTGACCCATTTTTGAGTTATTTTTTTT